TTAGCTCAGTAACTAACATCATATACATATATTAGCTCTGGAGCTAAAAGTGTTAGCTCTGAAACTAACTTCTTTTTAGCTCTTGAGCTAACGATAGTAGCCCTGAAGCTAATGCTAACAGGCTAAAGCTGTGCCCCCCCACAAACCTTCGTTCTGTCCGTCCTCCATCAGCTGGGCGGCACCACGCTGCTGTCACACGTGTGCACGTGATGGTGATTAAAGCGGAGCTCCGTGCAGCTTCGTCTCTCTCAGCAGCAGCAGCTCTTCTCGCTCCTCTTCATCGTTTTCAGCTCTGTCGGCGCTCCGCTTCAAATTAAACGTCCAGGAGACACCTTCCAGCTGCTGGAGGGAGCGACTGAACTGAAGCGACCTCCTGAACCGGGCGGCTGGGTCTAAAGCTCCTGTTGTTAGCTCATCATGACACTGCCACCGCCGTGCTTCACTGGAGGAGCGTCCTGCCACACGTTGATCGTAATAAATGATTGGCTGGACAGGCCAGGTGAGTTCAGGAGGCTCACCTTCAGAACAAGCGGGCCGGCTTCATGTTTTTACGTTTGTTCTGACACTCCTTTAAAGACGGAACGTTCAGGAGTTCTACTTCCTGTTTTCATCCTGAGTCTGTGACTCCAAGACGGAAACTAAAACGTCCTTCAGATGTCCTTCAGATGAGTTCTCACCTGAACAGGTGGAGCCAGCAGAAAGCAGACGTTCTTTGTTCTGAGCTCCACCTGCTGGTGTTTTATCTTATGGTCTACCAGTTTTTAATTTAGTGATTGGTGACCCATTATTTTCAGACCATATGCCTGTTTTATTTGAGATAAAGCAGTCTATTACTAAGGTTAAACCATGTGCACCAGTTCGGTTCTGTCGTGTTCTTAACCCTTCTACTGCTGTTCAGTTTTCTTCTGTTTTTAATAAGAACTGTACAATCCCAGAGACTGTCAGAAATAAAACCGAGGATATCAGCAACTGGTTTTATTCTACTAGCAAAGCAGCTCTGGATTCAGTGGCACCGTTAAAAACTAGACTTGCAAAATCCAAACATGAACCCTGGTTAAATGACGACACTCGGGCTGCCAGGAGGAACTGTCGTAAAGCTGAACGAAAATGGCAAAAGGATAATTTGCAGGTGTCGCTGCAAATATTAAAGGAATGCTGGCGCTGTTATCAAAGGATTGTAAAAGACGCTAAAAGAAGATACCTGACAAATATAATTGTATCAAACAGTTGCAATCCAGCTATTTTATTTAAAACTATTAACTCTGTTCTAAATGCCCCACATGGTGCTTTTGTGGAGACTTCCCCTGCTGTTTGTGAAAGCTTTTTAAACTTTTTTGTTGAGAAAGTCACTTCTATTAGGGCTCAGATCATACCCATTGTGTATGACCCTATTGATACTGTGTCTTGCCCTGCTGTTTTTAATAGCTTTGAATGTGTGACTTTGCAATCCCTGCAGGAGGTCGTTAGTCACTTGAAGCCAACTGGTTCTCCAGATGATGCTATTCCACCTCGACTGTTCAATGAGGTTTTTCATACTATAGGTCTGTCGACCCTTGCTCTTGTTAATAGTAGCTTGTCCTCAGGTGTTGTTCCTGAAAATCTGAAACATGCAGTTGTCCAGCCTCTAATTAAGAAATCAAATCTGGATCCTGCTGTCCTAGCGAACTACAGACCAATTTCAAAATTGCCTTTCATCTCGAAAATTCTTGAGAAGGTAGTTTATAAGCAACTAATGTCCTATCTCATTGAACATAATATTTTAGAGATTTTCCAATCTGGTTTTAGATCACTTCATAGCACAGAGTCAGCTCTCTTAAAAGTTTTTAACGATATATTTTGGGCAACTGATTCTGGTGATTGTGTTGTTTTGGTGTTGTTGGATTTATCAGCTGCTTTTGACACAGTTGATCACACGATTTTAATTGCTCGTCTGGAACAATATGTGGGCCTTGGTCAAACAGCTCTAGACTGGTTTAAGTCTTATTTGACAAAACGCACTTTTTGTGTCTGTCTTGATGGCAATAGATCATCCTCTGCTCCTCTATCATGTGGTGTTCCGCAGGGCTCGGTCTTGGGTCCTCTTTTGTTCTTACTGTATCTCCTTCCTCTTGGCTCTGTTTTTAGGAAATACGGGATTGCTTTTCATTGTTATGCTGATGACACACAGATTTATTTACCTTTAAAGAAAGCAGATTCCACTTCTCTTCGGTCTCTGTTTCTATGTTTGGAGGATTTGAAGGCATGGATGGCCCAAAATTTCTTGAAATTAAATGAAGACAAGACAGAGGTAGTGATTTTTGGCAGCTCGAATGAAGACTCTCTGCCTGTTGATTGCTCTTTGGCTCAGTATGTCAGGCCAGTTGTTACAAATTTAGGGGTCAAGATGGATGCTGGTCTTGGGATGGAGTCTCAAATTAAAACAGTTGTAAAGTCAGGCTTTTTTCATTTGAGGCAGCTGGCTAAAGTAAAACCAATTCTTCCCAGACAGCATTTTGAAACAGCAATCCATGCATTTGTGACCACACGGCTAGATTACTGCAATGCACTTTACATAGGTATTAGTGATTCATGTATTTCCCAGCTTCAGAGGGTTCAGAATGCAGCTGCACGACTTTTAACAGGTACACGGAAATTTGACAGTATTTCTCCTGTTTTGGCCTCTTTACATTGGTTGCCGGTGCATTACCGGATTCATTTTAAAATACTTTTATTTGTTTTTAAAGCTTTAAATGGCCATGCCCCTCCATACCTGTCTGAGCTGCTACATTCTTACACACCCTCTCGTTCACTCAGGTCAGCTGACCAGTTGTTTCTGAAGGTCCCGAAGACAAAGCGTAAGCTTAGAGGGGACCGAGCTTTTTCTGTGATAGCTCCCAGGCTCTGGAATGACCTTCCATTGAACATAAGACAGGCCTCTTCAATTGAGGTTTTTAAGTCCCTTCTTAAAACTCATCTTTTTTCTTTGGCCTTTTAGCACAATCTGAGATGTTTTACCTTGTTTTATTGTGTTTGTATTTTATTTTATTATTCTATTCCTGTTTTAAATTTTACCCTTCCATTTTATCATTGTATTGTATTATATAATTGTGTAAAGCACTTTGGTCCTGTTGGGTGCATAAAGTGCTCTATAAATAAAGTTGGTATGGTATGGTATGGTGGACTTCAGTTTCTACCTGTGAGACGGAGCTCAGGGCCGTGTGCCCCCTGCTCTTCTCACCTTGTTGTTGTTTGTTTGTTGTTCTGCAGAAGTACCGGCACAACGATGAGGACTCGTCCCCCCAGGAGCACAGCTCCCCCCAGCTCACGGAGGAGGCGCTGGGCCCGGAGCTGGTCCAGGTAGCAGAGAAGAACCTGTCCCAGGTCGAAAACGTGCACGGATATGTCACGCACGCACACATCTCACCGATGAAGGTAGGGGGCGGAGCCTGTGACTACTTCAGAAGTTCTGATCCAGAACTCGGTTCTTCTCCTCAGAGATTCTGTAGAACCGCTGTAACAGGAGAGACCTGAGGACTGGATCAGAACCGTGTTCCTGTGAAGGTTCTGTTTCCTGTTCCCATCTGTTCTATTTGAGTGTTTTTATGTGTTTTTGTGTCATCTCGGTCCAAAAAGACGACATCCAGGTGGAACTCCGTTAATCTGTCAGGATGAATCAGCAGATTACCTTTTAATCCAGAAATAATCTGAGATCTCAAATTAACCTCTGACCCCGCAGCTCAGGAGGACGAGCTGTCGCCTGGTTCTGATCCGTTTAAGCAAAGCTTCAAGGTCCTGGTCCTGGTTCTGATCCGTTTAAGAAAAGCTTCATGGTCCTGGGTCTGGTTCTGATCCATTTAAGAAAAGCTTCATGGTCCTGGTTCTGATCCGTTTAAGAACAGCTCTGAAGTCCTGGTCCTGGTTCTGATCCATTTAAGAAAAGCTTCTTGGTCCTGGTTCTGATCCGTTTAAGAACAGCTCTGAAGTCCTGGTCCTGGTTCTGATCCATTTAAGCAAAGCTTGAAGGTCCTGGTCCTGGTTCTGATCCATTTAAGAACAGCTCTGAGGTCCTGGTCCTGGTCCTGGTTCTGATCCGTTTAAGTACAGTTTTGGAGTTCTGGTTTTGGTTCTGATCCGTTTAAGTACAGCTTCCAGGTCCTGGTTCTGGTTCTGACCCGCTCCAACCTGCTGATGTTACAAAACATGCTCCCAGAAATGAAAAGTTGTTCTGTTGTCTCCAGAACCAGTCACAGATCTACCACCAACATCTGGGTCAGACGCTCAGAACCTTCCTGCAGGTCTGGCAGGAATTGGACGGTGAACCCTCGGTCCTAAAGGTGTAACTGATCATTTCCTGCCCCAGTGTGGCGCAGCTACAACTGGTCAGTATGGACCGAAATTAATATCTCGATATTTTAAGATGAATCGAGATTCATGTATCTCAGTATTTTTTCTTTCCATAAAGTAAAAACAAAAATATATTTCAGAGTCAAAGTTTTGTCCCAGTTGTCACACAGCCACGTTTATTAACAACAGCTGTAACTGTACAAAATAAATGTGTAAAAATAAACTGTACGTACATTAAAGTTTGTTTTTAGACATTTATTTACATATATTAAATAACAATCCTCTTCAGCTGCGTTTGAAACTGCAGGTCCGACTGTGTTTTCAGCCTCCTTCCCTGAAACAACCCACGGGTCAGAACTCACGTGTCTTATGAGAGGAACAGAGGTGACGTTAATAAATCAGCAGTTTATCAGATCAATACACCGTCCGTAGCAGCTAACAAGATGGCTAACTTTAGCCGTCTGGTTCCACAGTTGAGACTGGGACCATGTCTTTAGTGATAAAAGCTGCTGCTTCATTAATGTCACATCTGCTCCTCTCATAAGACACGTGAGCTCTGACCCGTGGGCTGTTTCAGGGAAGGAGGCTGAAAACAGTCGGACCTGCAGCTTATAACTTCACTTGTATAACGCTGTTTTAAACAGTGAAAAAGATTCGTAGTTCTGACCTTTTGTTGGAACTTGTTTTCAGCCTCGTCTACAGAAAACATCTGAAAACATCTGTCATTTTTAAAATCATTCAAGGAGAGAGGAGGGGCCGCGTGGGAGAAAGAAGACGGCAGGCGGATTTTCAAGTACAACGCTACACTGTGTATCGTTTATATCGATATGGTCTCATCTTATATCGCAAAGGAAATTATCTCGATATTTAAAAAATATTGAGGTATCGCCCAGCCCTAGGTGTAACTGGTAGTTTCCCACCTCGGTGTGGTGTAGATGATGGTTCACTCCCCTGGTGTGATATTCAATTCAGTTTATTTATAAAGCACCAAGTCTCAGCAGAAGTCGTCTCAGGGACTGAACAGAAACATTCAAATATAAAATAATAATTGAACAGAAACATTCAAATATAAAATAATAAATGATCAGAAACATTGATGTATAAAATAATGAATGATCAGAAACATTCAAATATAAAATAATAAATGATCAGAAACATTCATCTATAAAATAATAATTTAACAGAAACATTCATCTATAAAATAATAATTGAACAGAAACATTCATGTATAAAATAATAATTGAACAGAAACATTCAAATATAAAATAATAATTTAACAGAAACATTCATGTATAAAATAATAATTTAACAGAAACATTCAAATATAAAATAATAATTAACAGAAACATTCATGTATAAAATAATAATTGAACAGAAACATTCATCTATAAAATAATAATTTAACAGAAACATTCATGTATAAAATAATAACTGAACAGAAACATTCATGTATAAAATAATAATTAACAGAAACATTCATCTATAAAATAATAATTGAACAGAAACATTCATGTATAAAATAATAATTTAACAGAAACATTCATCTATAAAACAATAATTGAACAGAAACATTCATCTATAAAATAATAATTAACAGAAACATTCATGTATAAAATAATAATTGAACAGAAACATTCATGTATAAAATAATAATTTAACAGAAACATTCATGTATAAAATAATAATTGAACAGAAACATTCATCTATAAAATAATAATTAACAGAAACATTCATCTATAAAATAATAATTGAACAGAAACATTCAAATATAAAATAATAATTTAACAGAAACATTCATCTATAAAATAATAATTGAACAGAAACATTCATGTATAAAATAATAATTTAACAGAAACATTCATGTATAAAATAATAATTGAACAGAAACATTCATGTATAAAATAATAATTTAACAGAAACATTCATCTATAAAATAATATAACAGAAACATTCATCTATAAAATAATATAACAGAAACATTCATGTATAAAATAATAATTGAACATTATTTATCTGAGGAGCAGCTTTGAGTTTAGCTCCATCACTGAACTCTCATCTTGAACAAGCATGAAGGTGACAGTGGAAAGAAAAACTCCCTCATGAGGAAGAAACCTTTAGCAGAACCAGGATCAGGACTAGAGGACCATCTGCTTCCACCGGCTGGGTTTGGTAGGAACAGATACACAATGGCAGGTCAAGAATCACATGTTAAGATAGAAATAGTATCAAATGAAAACTATTCAATTTTAACAATTCATTTAAGGAAATGAGGTCAGTTTGTCCTCTAGTAGTCTAAGTCTATAGCAGCAGAACAAGCCGACCCTAACTATAGGATTTATCAAAAAGGAAAGTCTTCAAACTGGACAATGTGTCAGCCTCATGGACAGAAACTGGAAGTTGGTTCCACTAGAGAGGAGCCTGAGAACTGGAAGATCTTCCTCCCATTCTGCTGCTGGAAACTCTAGGAACCACAAGTAAACCTGCAGACTGAGAGTGAAGTGCTCTGTTAGGAAAATATGGTACAATAAGATCTGTAATATAAGATGGAGCTAGGTTGTTGAGAGCTTTGTAGTTTAGAAGTAAGATTTTGAATTATATTCTGGATTTGTTTTCTGGCAGCAGCATTCTGGATCAACTGAATACTTTTTAAAGAAGTATTTGGACACCCAGATGATAAACGTATAGCTGATGGTTTCCTGCCCCGGTGTGGGTTCTGTGTGACTGAAGAGTTTTAAATCAGGAATGAAGACCTTGCTGCAGCAGATTAGTCTCCATCTGAACGTTTCTGTTTTTACTTAGTTTAGCTGAAAGATGTTCAGATCTTCTGACACCTTTCTTCTCAACCTGTTAGAGGTCCTGGTTTCATGAAGTCCTTGAGACTGAAGCGCTTCAAGAAGAAAGCCTTCATGTCTCTGGAGTTTAACCGGGCCGTCTGATTCCGGGTCAGGTTCTGTGGTTTTTGTAGTAACCGTTAAGTTCTTACAGATTTCAGAGTGCAAGCTGATGTTCAGATGCTGCTGCTGATGTTCAGGTGCTGCTGCTGATGTTCAGATGCTGCTGCTGATGTTCAGGTGCTGCT